GCCATCTTCGACCATAATTTTCTGTTTAATCATGATGACATTTCCATATGTTAGTTGATGTTATTGTTTTTAAGCAGCAATGCAGCTAGTCTTGCTGACAATTCTGAGAGATATTAGCCTGGGTGAGCCTGGCCCATCAAGGAGGTGGGAGTGGGACTGAGTGGGCGTCAGGCACCGAGGACATCGGGTTACGTACATACCTCCATGGCAGACTCCCTCCAGGTCCTCACACCCATCTGTGGCTCTCCACGTGGCCACTGGCGATGGCTTCAAGCCATTGAGGAGCTGTTGGGAGTGGAGAGGGACCTCCTTTCTCCTTCCCCAGTCTGAGCAGATTCAAGACATAGAAGTTCCCTTGAATGTAATGCCTGCCAATTCCTGCGAAAATGTCAGAGAGGCCGGTTCCAGGGCCCGCGCAAAAGTGGAAAACAGGAGGAAGAAGTAAACTGGGGGAAAGAGAGGGACGCGGGCGTAGAAAATGGGGGGCTCGGGGAACGGTAAGAACAACGAAGTAGCATTATGTAGAGGAGAGAGATGGGCGATCATCTGAACACAGATGATGGAGACAGGGGTGTGATGGTGGAATCGTGGCGAGGTTAGAGGACAGACCAAATCGGGATTTAGTTCCAGTCAGGACTCTCAGAGAAGCAAATGAGCACAAAGACTCACGCAGAGATCTCTGAGGATCCAAAAAGCATTACATTCTGGTCGGAACCCCCAAGGCCAGAGCTACATGGGAGGTGGCGCCCAGCCACAGATTTTGGCTTGAGTTGACCCCAAACTAGGCAGAGATGGAAGCAGAGATTTCCTGCTTCCCGAATTCTCCCTCAAAACCCTGCAGAGAAGCTGTCCAGAAGGCGTTCAACCATTCAGCTCCTCCCCAGAACAGTCTAGCCCCGCACAGGCAGCGCCCCGGGCCCTCCAGGAGGGTCGGCTGTCTGCAACAATCTACCGTCCCATCCCACAGGCCGGGAAGGTAGGATCATTGCCTCCACTTCTTCCTCCACGACACCTACTGAAGAAGATCCAAGTGTTGTTGATATCTTCTCCCTCACCCCCACCCAGCCACTGGCATGAAAACGAAGCGGAGATGAGGTGGGGAGGGGCCGGGAATAATGAGAACAGAGCCTCAAGCTGCATAGATGCCATGCCTTGGGGTCCAGCAGACCCCGGATTCTACCCCTCTCCACCCCATCCCAAGTCACTGCAACTCCCTAGGTCAATTTTGTAATGTTGTAGCTTGTGGTTCCTCCACACACACACACACACACACACACACACACTCCTCAGGCCCCAAATAGAAGAATGGCATAGAGAAGCCCCCTATGGGCCCTTCTTACTGGTTAGCCCTGGGCAGCCTGAGCCCAAACCCCAATGCCCAAATAAGGAAGGGGGGCTCAGCCCGGGTCCCTGAGGACAAGGAGTCTGGGCTGGGAGCCCATTAGGACTACCTCAGTCCAGTCTCCTGGGCGGAGGGGTCTCCTTCTCCCCCTCCAGTCTCATGGGCTGGGAGGAGGAGATGTGATATTTCCATCCAGATTTGAGTCCTAGGAGGACTTGAGCTTTTTAGTTTATCTTCCAAGATCTAAGACTTCCAAGCGGGAAGACCTCTGTTACCACCTGTGAACCCCCTCTGCGCCTGAGTTTCTTTTGTAAAATGAAGATAATCATACCCACCTCACAGGATGGTACCTTGCATCAGATGAGATAGGTAAAGCGGTTTTTTGTTTTTTTGCTTTGGGACAACAGGCCAATTACCTAGTGCTGGCTATTATTAATTTAATTTCCTCCTGCTATGACCTAGCTTAATCCAATGGGTTTCACTTAATTCTTCAAACTAACCTTGAGCAGAGAACCTTATTTTGACTTTTAACAGTTTTTCTTTATAGGGTATTAACTTAAATTCTTCTGGCTACAGGTTATACCCAGAGCTCCATCCCCCTCTCTGGCCTTCTCAGAGGATGCTCTAGACAAGCTCCTTGAATTAAATCAAGCCTACTCCTCAGAAATGACTGCTCCCCCAGCCTCTCCTCCACCTTCCCTGGTGCCAGTCCCCAGGATTTCCTTTCTGCAGCCCCCAAACCAAGTCAGATCCCATCACAGGATTCTTCCTCTCTGTGCCTGCTCAGCTTTTCTTCCTACCTCCTTCACTCCTTCCATTTATATTAAATTCTCTCCCAACATTAAAAAAAGTAACATGGTTAGTGTAAACAATGAAGCAATTCAAGGATACATAGAGGAAAAATAATAATCCTCACTCCACCAACACATGTTAGTAGGCTGCTTTCCAGGCCTTTCCCCAGGCTCCTATAAACACATACTGACATATACCCACACGGAGGGCGGGTTTGTGGCTTTACAATTTTTTTTAAATTTTGTAAAATTAAAATACATATTTCTCTGCACCCGAATTCTTTAAGAACAATAGTTAAACAAATATTTTCTCTTTTTAAATAGTTGTACAATATTTCATAGAATGACTATGCTGCAATTTATTTAGTTTTCCACCTATTGATGGACATTTAAAGTTTTTCAAGAGTTGTTTTCTATTGTTTTTGGTACACTACAAATATGATTGTTATAAATATTCCTGTTCAAACAACATTATGTACTAGTGTTTCTATTTCATCAATAGATTCCCTTTTCAAAGTTGTATTGCTGGACAGAAGATATATAAATGCACTTGCAATTTGAAAATATGTAGGGCTACTTTCTTTTTCTTTCTTTTTTTTTGGGGGGGGTGGGGCTGCATTTGAACCCACCACCTCCAGCATATGGGGCTGGCGCCCTTCTCCTTTGAGACACAGGCACCACTGCCCAAGGCTACTTTCTTAAAGGAGATAGGGTGCCAGTTTCCCTGTACTCTTCTCAACACTGTACATTAATAATACTTTTTTGTCTTTGTCAACCTAGTAGGTAACATCAAAGCTTCCTGGAAGGCAAGCCTTTCCTGGCACCTACATTGGGTTCTGTGCATCCCTCTCTAGCCCTAATCACTACCAGAGCTACTCCTGCACTGGTAAGGGAATGTCCAGCTAGACTTCGAGTCCC